CCTCCTCCTCCTCCTCCTCCTCCTCCTCCCCGAGGGCCGTGCACCGAGGGCCGCTCTTGCTGCGGCTGTCGATCGAGGGAGAGGGCGCGCGCTGCCAACCATGCCCCAGATGCCTAAAACACGAAGCATTGTTAGAGCATTCGTTCACACATCCTGAGCACCTCTTCGACTCCATGACTGGGTTGTTGGAGTGTCCACTGTCATGGCATCCACGACGCTCTTGCCCAGGGTCACCTCTTGCGTGTAGCCGAGATTTCTCGAGTGCTGTACAGTGCAGACCCATGCCAAGAAACACCCTGCTTGCCTCCAGGGTGCCCTGGGTTTCCTGGGTTTCGATGGTCTCAGGGTTGGGTTTCTTGTGGAAGGTTTCTTGTGGTCGGGCTCCCACTGTATCTCATGGAAGGAGATTCCCGGGGAGGCTTGTCGAGGGGGGGTCGTCCGGAGCCCCGCTGGGTTGTGCAAGGGCTTGTTCGGGGTCGGCCGTCTTGTCGTCATTCATGAATCAGCATAGGTTAAACCGTGTTGACCGAGGGGTTGTCGGGGGATTTTTGTTGATTGCGTTTTTTTCTTTGGAACATCGTAGGATTTTTTCTAATGATTGGATTTTTGGTTGATTGGATTTTTGTTGATTTGTATCGACTACAGAATTAGTTCCCCCCCAGTTTTTTTGGGTTTGTCGCATCTGCGGAACATGCGTCGATTGCTCCGTCGATCCATGGAGCACCCTGCGTCTTTCTCGTGGCTTCCACTGAAGCATCAGTTTTTGGGGTCAAGCATTTTTTGTCGTCGATCTACTCTCGGGGGCGGAAAAGAGGGGGGTGATGACTAGGGGGGGATATCATGGCGGGGGCCACGATATCTCCCAAGATTTCATGGCGCCTCTTCTTATTTTAATACGTCCCTGGCCCCCCCGCTGGGCCGCGCACATGCCGCCGGTCATGATTTGCACCCACCCCCCTCTTGGACACCCCCCTCTTGGCCGCTCCCGATACTCGGACTTCGGCAGCATTTGAAGTCCAGGCTTCGCTAAGACTGGTTTCCCCCCCAGCGGAACGAAGGGTTCCAGGACGCTTTTCGGAGGGTTCCGGGAGGGTGTCAGAAGTGTTTTTTATTCGTTTTGGGGGGGAACCAGTCTCTAGCGAACCGTGTATTTTCTAACGGTAGCAAATCATTGGAGCCTAGTGCATTCTCGTAATTCTGTTGTTTGCGGTGCGTTAGCGTCGACAAGCGTCGGGTGGTCGATGGGGTAGCGCCGATTCAGCGTCGGTGAGGGTCGAGGGTCGAGTAGCGTCGATTTCGCAGGAGGCACCAAGTCGGTATGGGAGGCTCCCGTGAGCTGCCACAGAAGAAGGCGCACGCCGACGCCCGTTCCTGTCGATCGGCTGCGAGCCCGGGGGGGGAAGTACGAGGTCACAGCGGCGTGGCTTCTCGGAAGCCCTCGCGCCTTCTGAGAAGCCGCCCCTGTCTGCGGAGGTGGCCGGAGGCCTTTTGAGCCTGCTGAGAAGGCCCGCTCCCTCTGATTTTCCCCTGTGCTCGCCGCCGAGTCGATGGTATCTTGAACAAGACTCGCTGTCGGCATCGCCGCAGACGTTCCCCGTTTGAAGCAAGCAGTTGCCTGCCCATCAGTGTGGCCCTCGCCGGCTTGGGTTTGGGACAGCGTTAGCTGTTGGGCGTTGTACTTTTTTTACGTATCCATGTTGGGCGTGCCGACTGAGGGAAACTCCAACACCCGCGCGTCGTGAGGAAGCCACGACGAAAGCCGTGGGATTCTCGGGGCTGGGGTTGGACGCTTTCGTCGGCTCTTGGTCAGGAGGGGAAGAAACACACAGACACAATTGTACGTCGATCCCCCGGGAAATATGGAAAAATATGGGAAGTGTGGGGGAAGACAAAACCCCAGAAAATACGAGAAAATATGGGGCATCATTTTATTTGTGTGCATTTATTTGTGTGTCCCAGGGCCCCTTCACTCGGAGGCCCTCCTCGCGCCTCGGGCTGCCTCCCTGCAGCCGTGCCCCGTCGAGGGCGCCCTGCGGGTGCCCGACCCGGCCCGGATCGGCGGCCAGAGGCCCGGGCTGCGGGCGGAGAGGCCAGACATCCCGCGCGTCGTGAACACACTCACTCAGGAGGGGAAAAAACACAGACGCAATTGATCGTCGATCCCCCAGAAAATATGGGAAACTATGGGAAGTGGGGGGGAAGACAAGAACCCAGAAACTATGGGAAAATATGGGGGATTCTTGTATTTGCGTGTATGTATTCGTGTGTCCTGGTGCCCCTTCACGCACGGCGTGAGGTTCTTGGGCAGTTCTCGCGCGTCACCGGGCCCCGGGAGCCGGGAATCACCGCCCGGGATGGCAAGCGGGGGATTTTCAAATTACATAAACGTAAATCACCACCCACCAAACCACCCCAACCCAACCCGAAGGCTCAGATTTACCCTCGATTTCCAGTGGGGGGGGTGTCGGGAAACATCGAAAAAACACATGTGGAACCCTTACCCCCCCCAACCCGAAATTCGGGTCTTCGGGTTGGGTTGGGGTGGTCTGGTAGGTAGGCAGTAAAAACTCGGAGGTCCTCGCGGATTTCTCGGATCGGCGCTGGGGAACCCCGGCGGCGCCTCCAGCGCCGCCCCTGGCGCGCTCCGCGCGCCAGGGAGGGGGGTCCGGCGCCGATCCGAGAGCCGCGCGGGACCTCCGAGTTTTTTTTTTTTTTTTTTTTTTTTTTTTTTTTTTTTGTTTGTTGTTTTTTTTGTATGTTTCTGCCATTTTTTGTTCCCCTAGTAAGCCCGTCCCCCGGGACGGGGTTCCCACCTCCGGGGAGCCGCGCCTGCGAAGGAGTCACGACCGTCGGGCGTCCTGGGAGGGGGTCTCGAGGGTTGGCGAGGCCTGAAGGGCTTCTGAGTTTTTTTTGTTTTTTTTTTTTTTGTTGTGTTTTTTTTGTGTTTATATATTATATATATATATATTATATATATATATATATATAAATTTATAATATAAATGGAGGGCTTCTGAGGTTTCCTGGCCTCCTGGGGCCGTCAGCAAGCGGCTCGGGATGCGGTGTTTCATGAGTCTGACCCGCAGGTCGGCCCGTGCGGCGTGCGCAGTGCTTCCTTGTCTTGTGCCGAGCGTCTGCGTGCGGGCGCTCCCGTCGCAGGCTGCTGTTTTCACGGTGCTCGACGTGTCTGTAGTGGCCGTGATGCGTGCGTCACTGGGGATGGGTGGGCTTCGCGTTTCTCAGGGGCAACGTTGGGGGGAGATAGTCTCGCGGTGGATGCATCGATCCCCGCTTGCCCACTCAGCGCCGATCGGGGCCCGATAGCCCACCCCGCCCAGGAAAGTGCCGATTCGCTATCGAGAGCCTATCACCGATCTACAAGCGATGTACCGCCAGTTTCAGGTCGAGGTTCCCCATGCCGGTCTCCCATCAACGTTCCCCTTCAGCTTCGTAGAGAGAATACCTCTGGCTTGCAGGTGCAGGGTTCACGTGTGGTTGCCGAAGGGCCCGCTTCCCTGGATACGTTACATCTTCGGGGGACCTCGCCTGTCCCCTAAATTGGTGTATTTACCTTGTGCCCGACGCGGGCTCGATGCGGACTCTACGCGGATTTGGCGTGGACTCGACGTGGATTCGACATGGATTCGACATGGATTCGACGCGGACAGGGCCGCGACGGGACAGTCAAGGTCCCCCGAGGATGCAACATAACGCTTCCTCCGCGCTGAGGAGCGATGGCTCGCGGAGCCTGCGCGGTCCCGCGCGCTTCTTCTACGACAAGGGCACGTTCACGGGCACCGCGCGCTTCGTGGGCAGGCCCCCTCGGCCGCGCCTCGTGGGCCGGGGCTGGCGTCCCGCCCCTCCCCCCCCGGAGTCTCGCGGAGGGATCGGCTGTCTTGCTCGGTCCTCGGAGCCTTCGTCTCGTCTCGGGATGCCACGGTGGTGCAATTTTCTGGCGACCTCGGGTCTATGGTCACCACCCACCAAACCACCCCAACCCAACCCGAAGGCTCAAATTTACCCTCGATTTCCAGTGGGGGGGGGTCGGGAAACATCGAAAAAACACATGTGGAACCCTTACCCCCCCCAACCCGAAATTCGGGTCTTCGGGTTGTGTTGGGGTGGTCTGGTAGGTAGTCATATGGAGGGTGGAGGGGCATCGGGGCGCTTCGAGTCTCCGGCGGCTGCTGGAGGTCCCCCCCCTCGTCTCGGGACGCCCTCCAGCCGCTGCGCCTCGTCGAGAGCGCTCCCTCCGGGGCCGGCCGAGTCGTCGCGGGCGGTTGTGGGAGGCCCGAGTTCGGGTACGAGGACCCGACGTTTTCCAGGAGGGGGAAACAAAAACACAGAGAGACAACTAATTCTCGATTCCCCCAAAAATGAGGGAAAATATGGGCAGTTGGGGGGGGAGACAAAAACCAGAAGATATGGGAAGATATGAGGATTTTTTTCATTTGTGTGTGTTTGTTTGTGTGCCTCAGGGCCCCTGCAGTCCCCGCGCCACGAGGGCACGGACGGCGGACCTGCCCTGGCGGTCTTCGGCTGCCGGGGGCCCTCGCCGGGCCCATGCCTGTCCGAAGGCAGCCCAAGGCGAGACTTCCGTCGGGCATGTCCCTCTACAGGAGGAATCTATTCAAAAATAGTTATGAAAGATAGTGGTGACGGCTTTGATTATGTCTGATTGTTTGCCGACCGTCCTGTGGTGTTGGGCCATCGTTTTGAAGAGACAGCGCCCCGCGTCTCCTCTCCTCCTCTCCTCCTCGCTCCCCTTCCTCCGAGCGCTGCCTCTGCCCTCCGAACCAGCCAACCATTTTAGCACACCCCTCACACGTTTCGTGGCCCCATAGGCAGCCCCACCGGAGGCCGAAGTGTGAGCGTTCGCATGCGCCCGCCGCACCCATTTTGGCACCCCCCTCACACGTTTCGTGGCCCCATGGGCAGCCCCACCGAAGACCCAAATGCCAGCGTTCGCATGCGGCCACCGCACCCATTTCGGCACACCCCTCACACGTTTGGTAGCCTCATAGGGAGCCCCACCGAAGGCCCGAATACCAGCGTTCGCATGCGGCCACCGCACTCTTTTTTGCACACCCTTCACACGTTTCGTGACTCCATAGGGAGCCCCACCGACGACCCAAACGCCAGTGTTCGCATGCGGCCACCGCACCCATTTCGGCACACCCCTCACACGCTTCGTGGCCCAATAGTGTGCGCCACCGAAAGCTTGAGTGGCTGCGTTCGCATGCGGCCACCGCACCCATTTCGGCACACCCCTCACACGTATGGGTAGCCCCTATGGGGAGCTCCTCCGAATGCGGTGCATACAACGGCGGTGTTTACAACTGCACATGGTTGGGTCTTTCGCCAGGCCAGTTTTGAATCTATTTTGGGCTCTGTTGCAATTGGCGTCCAAGATCCGCCTGTGGGGGCACGCCCGACCCGAGGCCAGACCTCTGGGGAGCCCCGCCGTGGGCCCGCTCGCGGCGTCGGAGGTCTGGGTCCTGCCCGCCCTGTCGCTCCCCCCGCCCCTCGCTCTGTGCCCGGCGCCGGGGGGGGGGGGGGGAGGGGGGGGCGGGGGAGGAGAGGCATCGGGGGTGGACAGACCTCCTACCCTGACGCGTCGATTAAGGAATTGGCCGTTTTCGGTTCGCGAGAGGGCGTCGCGGCCGTCATTTTTGCGGGTCCAGGCCCGTTGGTTTCGGTCCGTTTGGTTTGAGGTTTGTCCACCGCCGAAGGCAGGGAGGGATGTAATGTGCAGTACGCCGACGGCTGGGGATTGCAGTGCAGTGTGACGGACCTGGTCCACTGCCACCGAAGGGATGGGGGGTGGCCTCTCTGCGGGGCGGTCCATGCTGCGGAGAGCCGCGGACGCAGATTGCCATGTGGCGCGTCGCTCAGAAGTGCAGCACGACCTCAAATGGTTGGAAGAAGAGAAACGCCATTCAAGAAGAGACTCTGCACGTGGCAATGATCTTTGAGATGACCAAGATGACGTCAACTATTTCGATTTGCTGAACGCTGGCACTGCCGTAAAGTCAGAGCCCGCCAGTGGACAAAGTCCCAGCTTGCAGGGAGGAAGGGGGAACAACGACGTATCCTCCGCAGGGAAACGGCCAGTCCCCAGGCGCAGGTCAGGGGAAGGGCAAGGGCGAGACCAAAGGCAAGGGCAAAGGGAATGACCACGGCAAGAACGGCAAGGGCAAGTCCGGGACCCAAGGCAGGAGCAGAAGCAAAGGCAAGCAAGGAGGCGACAGAGGACAGAGTTTTGGAAACGGCCCCAGGCAGGCTGGAAGGGCTCAGAGCAAGGGCGCCAGGAGAGGGAAAGCAGGCTGGTCCACGCGGAGTTTTGGAAACTCTGCCACGGCATGGGCCTAGCAGTCCTTTCTTGGCTAATGCGCCTCCTTGCTCTGGCACGCATGCCAGCCGCCGGGCGTTTCACCCCAAGGTATGGGAGGTCCCTTGGACTGTGCTCGATCTCCTTGGGGCTCATAGTCGAACATTTCTGTCTCAGGGCAATCGTTTTTTCAGCACATATTCCGCGACGGACGGAATCGAACAGCTGTGCAATCATATTTAATGGTGCAGTCTGGTCGGAGAGAGGGGTACGCTATTGTGGTTTCGAACAATTGGGAAGTACCGCGTGGCCCCTTCCAGGCAACACGTGCTGCCTGAAATCAAGGCATTTTTGTTCCGATGTGTCCCAGAGAGCTGGGCAGGCGATCGCATCGTCAGCTGGCGCGACGAGATGCCGCCAGAAGTTCTGGAACAAGTCGTGCAAATGTCCTGCACGCAACGGCTTGGCGCAGGAGCTCGGTTTTTGAGTCTGTTCCGACATATGAAGACGGTGGTTTCGCGCTTGTGCGCAGGAGGGACCTTCAGGAACCGGTAGGCGAGAAGCTTTCAGAAGATTTCTGCGAGGAAGGCTTCGTGCCAAACGTCTTCAGCTCGATGGAGGACGACCGAAACATTATCATGAATATTTTGGCAGAATTTAAGATGACGAGCTAAAGGCTTTCCTGTTCAGGGGAACATGTGATCCCAACATAATCGTGTCCAGATTCTTCTTTGCTCTCAAAGCGCACAAGGCTCCAGGATACGCGTCCACCAGATTGATCCACAGTGGAACTTTGCACCCGTTCACGGGGATAGCAAGCATTATGCGAACTCTGTGGGCGCGAAAAATGCATGCTTGAGCGCACGGTGTGAAGAACACAACAGAGTTCGCCCACGCAATATAACGAGCTGGACTTACGGGCTATATATATATATATGTATTTATCAAGATATGATGGGTGACCATCATGATGGGTGACCACTCGGATATGGCAGAAAACGTGCGCAACCCTCGAGCATGGGGACGTGCTGGAAAACGCTCTCGACTATATCTTGTATTGCCTGTGTGTCGGCTCTGATCTCTTCCCAGGCAAGGTGTGGGGAGTCACTGGCGGGACAGGGATTGACCAGACACATCAGGGGAGTTGGCAGGCATGTACTTTTCTGGAGTACATTCGCTTTCGAGATGACATCTTCTGATCCCAACAGGCGTCGTGAAGTTGTGCTGTTGCTTCGCTTTGAAGAGAGACCGTGTAGATGTGGAAATTGTGGCATTTGTATATTGCATGGCTTTGAACATAGACCGCGAAGATGCGGATTCTTGAATCATTCGTATCTTGCATGCCTCCGTAATCGTCTATGTCCAGAGCGCTCGCAGCGCCCAGGGCTCCCCGATTCTTTTGGGCTGTGGGGTAGTTCCCGGCAGTTGGGCAAATTCTGCATTGTATATCTTGCGGCTGGTTGAAAAGTCAGCGCGTTCTCACAGGGGTGGCCTCCCTGTGGACGCAAATGGCAGGATGGCGCATCGCTCAGAACTGCAGCGCGACCTGAAACAAGCGCCCCACGGGTCTTCGGACACCGCGGCACCCATGAAGCACGTATTAATATAGTATCCCACCCAATTGTGTGGAATTGCTATTCACGCGTGTGCTTGCGCTCTTTCAGAAACACTATATCGAACTGGCGAGTCGCAAAGATCATGGCAACTACGCAACTCGACTTGCGATTGACGCACCACGGCCCCACCTCGAGCCCAGCAGCGGCTCCGTGGTTCGGGGCATACGGCAGTGAGAAAATCGGCTCGGTCGAAGCCTGGGCCCGCACGACGTGGATGATCTTCGTGGAGCTTCCAGCCGTCCCTTGCCTTTGAACAACATGATAAAATCGCTCTCTCGACAGATCCTGCAGGCGTGCACCGCGTGTATGTTCTGGGTCGGACGGCGGCCAGCGCGTCTCCTGCCCTCCCCTCGGCGCCCTGCCCCCCCCTCGCCCTCTCTGCGCGCCTCCGTGCCCGCGCGGGGGGATCATCGCGCAGTCGTCGTGATCGTTGCCCGGCGGCACGCCTGCCCGCGCGCTCGTGGGCCCGCCTCCGTCTCCGTCCGCGGCCGCTCTTCCCGTCGCCGCCCAGGCGTCAACTCGCTGCGTCGAACTGCCCTTCTTAGCCGACCGCGTGTTGCCTCCGAGTCGCTGCGACCAGAGAGCAACAGCCAGTCCGCGCGCGCTCGCTGTCTCGGCCCTTCTCCCCCCCCCTTCGTCCTGTTCGCGGGGAGCGTGGCGGGGCGCTCCTCCTGATGTCGGAGGTTGATTTTTTTCAAACGAGCCGGACCCCAACCCAATGGGTGAGTTGTAGCGTGTGTTCAATGATAGGTGCACTGACGTGCGAAGCCAAGAGGTTCTTTCCAATGACGCGCCATGCAACGTGACGTAGAGCAGAGCGACGTATCAGTGCGTAGCGTACAATCGCCCAGCTGATCATGACGTGCAAGCATTGTGCGGCGTTGGACAGCGTAGCGTTGCGTAACATATCGTAGTGCATTGGCAATCGCCTTTTGGGTGGCATCGTACCGTTGCAAAGCATGCCGCAGCGCAGCGTTGAACAGGGCATCGCAGCACCAAGCAGCAGACCTTCTACGTCGTGGTCTTTGCCGTGGCACGGGCGCCTAGACGCGTGGACGCAATCCCATGGGCTGCTTTTTCATCCGGGGTGGTTTCTGATGGTCTCGGGGAAAGGGCCTCCAGATAACCAAACATTCGAGAAAGTGTCCAGCAGTGCAAGACAATGCCATGCAAAGCATGTCTTGGCATTTCTTGGTAGTGCCTGGCATTGCTCGGCAGTGTTTGGCATTGCTTGGTGTTGCTTGGCATCTCTTGGCATCGCTTGGCATTGCTTGGCATTGCTTTGCGTTGACTGGCATTGCTCAGCATTGCTTGGCACTGCTGGGCATTGCTTCGCGTTGCCTTGCGTTGCTGGGCATGGCGTGGTCTTGCTTTGCATGGCTTGGAAGTGCTTGGCGTTGCTTTGCTTTGCATTGTGTGGCGTTGCTTGGCGTTGCTTGGCGCTGTTTGGCATTGCTTGGCGTTGTTTAGTATTGCGTTGGCGTTGCTTGGCATCGCTTGGCGTGGCTTGGCACTGCTTGGCGTTGCTGGGCATTGCTAGGCGTTGCGTGGCATTTCTTGGTGGTGCTCTTCGCTGCTTGGCAGTGCCTGCAATTGCTTGGCATTGTTGGGCATTGTTGCTCGGCGTTGTTGCCTGTCATTGTTGCTTGGCGTTGTTGCTTGGCTTTGCTGCTTGCGTTGATCGGCATTGCGTGGCGTTGCTTGGTTTAGATGGGCGTATCTTAGCATTGCCGATCACGGTTTGGCATGACTTGGCGTTGTTCTGCGTTGCTTATTGATTGGAATTGCTGTTGAGTGCTACTTATTACTTTGTATTGTTTGACATCGCTTAGCATTGCTTCGTATTGCTTGGCGTTGCTTGTCATTGCTTGGTATGTCTCAGCGTTGCTTGGCATTCTTTCGCGTTGCTTGGGTTTGATTGGTGTTGTTGCTTATCATTATTGCTTGTCGCTGTTGATTGGCAGTGCTTGGAATCGTTTCCTGGCATCGCATTGCGTTCCTTGGCATTACATGGCATTGCTTGGCGTTGCCTGGCAGTGCTTGTCCTTGCTTTGCAGTATTGCTTGGCATTGTTCGTCATTGATCGGCAGTGCTTGGCGTTGCTTGGCGTTTATTGGAACCGATGTCTTTCCTTGCCTGGCATTGCTTTGCCTTGCTTTGCTCACTGTTGCTTGGCATTGCTTTGCCTTGGTTTTCCTTGCTTCTGGCGTTTTCTGGCATTGTCTGGCATTGTTTGGCATGACTCTGTATTGCTTGGTCTTGCTTATTGCTTGGAATCGTTGCTAGGCATTGCTTGGCATTGCTTTGCAATGTTTTGGCATTGCTGGGAATCTCTGCAAGGCACTGCTTTGCGTTGCTTGGCATTGCCTGGCATTGCTTGGCGTTGCTTGGCATTGCATTGGCTTGCTTGGCATGTCCTGGAATTGTCTGGCATATTTTCGCATCGCTTGGCACTTCTTGACATTGCTTGGCGTTGCTTGGAATATTTGCTTGGCTTTTCTTGTCAGAGCTTGGCATTGCCTGGCATTGCTTGTCCTTGTTGCTCGGCACTCGGCATTGCTTGGAATCGTGACGTCGCCTTGCTCGGCGTTGCTAGGCATTTCCTGGCATTGCTTGGCATTGCACGTGCAAGCTTTGGCAATCCCAGGCAACCCCAGTCCACAACGGGCAATTCGGGGCAACCGCGGTCAACCTTGGGCAACCGAGGGGGAACGCTGGCGGGGAATGGGGCCCCGCAGCCATGCGCTCCTTCTGCGGGCAAGCAAGGGGGTCCTCGGGCAAGGCCCGATCGGGACTGCGCGCGTGCGCACGGGCGCGCGAGTGGCCGCTGGGCCTGTCAACAGGGAAACGAAAAGTGGCATACACATAAAAACTCGGAGGTCCGCGCGGATTTCTCGGATCGGCGCACTTTTTGTTCTTCTAGTTCTGGCCAGTCCTCCCAGCATCGCGCCGCCGTGGCGGCGGAGGGCGCCCCGAGAGGCCCCCAAGAGGCCCACGAGCGCCCAGGACGCCGATCTGCGGTCCCCGGCCCTGGAGCCGCGCCCCTCGAGCCGCGAGCCTCGAGCCTCGACCCCTCGACCCTCGACCTCGATCCTCGGCCCTCGAGCCTCGTCCAGGACGTCGGGCCTGAAGCCTCTCGAGCCTCGACCGTGGAGCCTCGAGCCTCGAGCCTCGGCGCTCGAGCCTCGAGCCTCGCTCCTCGGATCCTCGTCCAGGACGTCGATCCTCGGTGCTCGAAGCTCGACCCTCGACCCTCGAGCCTAGGCTCTCGACCCTCCGCGCTCGACGCCGGACCCCGGACTTTCGACCCTCGGTCCTCGTATCTCTCGGCGGCGGGAGCCCCTGCCAAGAAGCGCCCTGCTCGCCTCCAGGGTCTTGGCATCGCTCGGACGTGTGCATTGTTCCTCTGGCGAGGGCCATCGAGGAGCATCCTTGGTCGTTTGGCGAAAAAGCCACGCGCGAAACCGAAAACAAAACGGGGAATGGACGTCCGAGCGATGCCCAGGGGTGCCCTGGGTTCCTTCGGTTTCGGTGGTTTTGCTATGGAAAGCGTGACGTCCCCACGCCAAGCATCGATGGACGTCCTCGGGTCTCGGGGTTGGGTTTTTCTCGTGGAGGGTCTCCTGTGGCCGAGCTCCTGCTGCAGCCTCGACCGCATCGAGCCTCCAGCCTCGTCCGCGACCCTCGACCCTCGACCCCTGACCCTCGACTTTCGGCCCTCCACGCTCGACCCCCTCGACCCTCGACCCTCGATCCTGAGTCTCAGGATCTCGAGCCTCGAGCCTCGACCTCTCCAAGAGCCCCTGGCCTCGGCCTCCCTTTGAGCCTTTTGGGCCTCGCCCGCGGCCCTCGACCTCCTCGATCCCCGACACCGGCCGCGGCGCCGAGCCTCGGCCCTCGGCCTCCGCGGGCCCCGCTTCGCCCCGAGGCCGGGCGCGGGGGAGGCCGCGAGCGACGCCGTCTGCCGCTGGAGGGGCGACCTGCGGGGCTCCTCGAGCACGCCCAACGCCAGAGGCCTGCCCGCCGTCGTCGTGGTCGTCGTCGTCGTCGTCGTCGTCGTCGTCGTCGTCGTCGTGATCGTGGTCGTTGTCGTCGTCGTCGTCGTCGTCGTCGTCGTCGTCGTCGTCGTCGTCGTCGTCGTCGTCGTCGTGATCGTGGTCGTTGTCGTCGTCGTCGTCTTCGTCGTCCCTCGTCTTCTCCACCCCCTCTTCCTAATCTTCTCCTCGGCCCTGGCCCAACCTCCCTGTCGCACCAGCAGGCGCGTCGTCAGGGCGGGCCGAGCGTTTCGTCTGAGAATTCCTTGACGTTGATAGCATTGGACCGTGACATTCTTGGCGCTTCGCGTATCCCCACCAGCCAGACTCGTGAGTGGTCTCGGATTCGCTGGCTGGTCGGCCCCACCATGGGCAACGGTGTGGATCGCGGAGTGAGCACTCTGTAGGTTCCTGCCTCTTCTGCCCCTGTCTTAGCCGACATCGTTACGGCTGCGGTACCCTGGTACTGCCTGTCCGGGATAGGTCGGCCGCGCGGACTGGCGCCAACAGGGCGACTCTCCGCTGCCGAATGAGGAGCATTTTGCTCATTGCACGTGCACTTGCATTCATTGCATGTTTTTACTGCAGGTGTGTTGCCTGTTGTAGTAATGCGAGCTGGCTTGCCGACGCTGGCGGCTGTGTTCGCAAATTCGCACCGTTCCGCCGCCCCGGACGCCGCTTCCGCTCCTAGACGGTCGCCTGGGAGCCGCTAGCCAAAAAAATGTATCCCCACCAGCGTTCCGCCGTCCCGGACACGCCTGTTGCCGCCAGACCGTTGTCGCGCGGCCGCCGACCAAAAAAATATCCCCACCATCCCACCATCCCATGCAATTGCAGTCGCCAGGCGAGTTGCCCTGATCAGGGATGTGTAGCAGCATGCGGCCCAGCGGTGACGCAATCCCGTCTTCGCGGGCCTTTCGAATGATGATGATGATGATACTGATGATGCTGATGATGCTGCTGATGATACTGGTGGTGATGATGGTGCTGATGATCATGATGACGACGATGATCATGATGTTAATGATGCTGGTGTGAACGATGACGATGACGATGCCGATGACGACGATGATGATGACGATGCTATGGCTGATGATTATCATGATGATGGTGATGATGGTGATGATGATTCTGGTAATGCTAATGGTGATGCTGGTGATGATGGCGTCGACGACGACTACGACGACGATGGTGATGTTGATGGCGATGACGACGACGATGACCATGATAACGACGATGATGGTGATGATGAAGAATAAGAAGAATGAACTATAATGATGGCGACGGTGACGACGATGCCACGATGCCACGATGACGATGACGATGACGACGACGATGCTGATGATGATGATGATGGTGATGAGGATTTTGATGATTATGATGATGATGGTGATGGTGATGATGATGCCGTCGTCGACGACTACGATGATGATGCTGATGATGATACTGATTCTGCTGTTGCTGATCATGTTGGTGATGGTGACGATACGGGCGGTACTAATGATGATGAAAAAAGACATGTAAGTTGAGGAATTGTATAATGTTGATGACGATGACGACCATGCGACGACGACGATGAGGATGATGAAGATGATGATGATGGTGGTGGTGATGATGACGATGATGGCGATGGTGGTGGTGGTGAAGCTGCCGCTGCTGCTGCTGATGATGACGGATATTGATGCTGTTGTTGCTGCTGATGATGATCATGAGGACGTTGAGGAGGAGGAGGAGGAGTTGGTAGAGAAGGGGGAGGAGGAGGAAGTGGAACTTGAGGGAGAGGATGACGAGGAGGATGAACGCGGACAGGAGGAAGAGGAAACGTGCTAGAGTATGATGGGGTCAGGAAGAGGGAGGAGGTGCTTGAGTTAGGTAGGAGGAGCTACAAGGAGGCAGGGGTAGGCAACATGCGCACCGGTGATCCGCGCGGGCGCCGCGTGCCATTGTAAGCGAGGATATAGGACGAAGCGGGAGGAGGTAGTAGAAGGTAGTAGGAGTAAAAGAAGGTGGGAGGAAGTAGCAGGAGGTTGGAGCAAGCAGGAGGAGGCAGAAGATAGGAGGAGGAGGAGGAGGAGGAGGAGGACGAGGAGGAGGAGGAGGAGGAGGAGGAGCAGGTAGGAGGAGATAGGAGGAGGCAGGATAATGTAGGATGAGGGAGAGGGGTAAGGTCAAGCTAGGTGCGCTCGTGTCATATCGGACGACCTACCCCTTCCTCCCATCCCTCACCATGGCGTAGATCTCCTCCGTATTCGCACAGTCGGATGCCGTAGCATGGCATAGCATTACATGGCATAACATTGTGTTGAAGATCAACGCGTAGCATGACATAGCATGGCGTGGCGACGCCCCGAAGTGGGCACCGAATCGACACCGAATTTGAAATCACTTCCGATGGTTTTTTCGGGGGGAAGTTTTCTAGATTTTGGGGCCTATTTGGAAGGACCGAAAACCATACCGTGACAAATAACTCCAGCGCTGCAGCGGGAGCACGATTCGGAACGGGCGGAAGCGCGGAAATGAGGCCAGCGCTGCAGCAGGAACACGATTTGGCACGAGCGGAAGCGCGGAAATGAGGCCAGCGCTGCAGCGGGAACATGATTCGGAACGAGCGGAAGCCCGAAAATGAGACCAGCGCTTCAGCGGGAGCAGAATTTTGAGAAACACCGAAGCGAAAACCCAACTCCCTGGACTCCTGTGTGTAAACAACAGTTCGCGGAGGGGGGCCCGACATCTTCTGGACGTCATCAGGAGAGACAGAGAGAGAGAGCGAGAGAGAGAGAGGAGAGTAGTATGCATTTTGTGTAATTGTTGAGAGGGTGAGTGGGGGTTGGGGGGGGCGAAGGGAGATAGTGGGCTGGCGGGGGGTGGTCTTGGGCCCCTCTTGAGAGCATTGTGGGCCCTCTCGGGGCCATCTTGGAGGCCATCGGTCAAACAACGGAGGGTTCTCAAGTAAGGCCCCGTCGTTTGGGCCCGCACATTTGCCTCTTGGGCCCGCTCTTGGGGCGCTCCTGGGCGCTTTTGGGGCCGTCTTCGGCCCCTCTTGGGGCCCTCTTGGGCCATTTTGGAGCCATGTTGGGACCTCAAGAGCCCATCGAAAGCGCAACGGCGAAACTTCACAAATCATGTTTTTTTTCTTTGGCCTCATGGGTGCCTTTTTGGATGCTCGGATGGCACTTTGAGCGGTCCTGGCGCGGTCTGAGGGCTCTGGCAGGCCCTCCGGAGGCTACCTTGGAACCGTCTTGTGCTCATCGTGTTCGATCTTGTGCCATCTTGGACGCTCCAGCCCCCTGCGGCCCCCCCCCGCCCAGACCCAGGACCGGGGAGCATGGGGCAGGCGCCCAGCGCACGAGGCGCTCCCGCGGCGCGCGCGAGGCGCCCCGGGCCCAGACCCCCGACGCCATGACTTTCTCATGACGCGACCCCCAGAGTCAGGACCCTCCTCCTCCTCCTCCTCCTCCTCCTCCTCCTCCTCCTCCTCCTCCTCCTCCTCCTCCGGGACCGGTTTTTCATCCCGAGTCGTTTTTTGACGGTCCCGAGGCCCGGACTAAGGGCCCTCAGAGGCCGAAAGTCGCGAAAAACCTCCCGCCGTGACTTTTTCATGGCTCGAGGAGGTCTGGGGAAGGGGGGGCCGCCCACGGGCGGGCGCTGTGGGCGAGACCTCGGCGCGCCCGCCCCCCGGCGCACGAGGGTGCCTCGCGAGGGCGCGAGGCGCGGCGCTGGGGCGCTGCCTGGGCGAGGCCTCGGCGGCCCCGTGCGAGTCCCCGAGGGACCGCGGGATCGCCACCTCCTCCTCCTCCTCCTCCTCCCCTCCTCCTCCTCCCTCCTCCTCCTCCTCCTCCTCCTCGTCCCCCTCCTCCTCCTCCTCCTCCCCCTCCCCCTCCCAGATTGTCTGGGGGGAAGGTGGCGATCCCGCGGCAGCGTCGGCCTCGTTCCCAGGGTCTCGCGAGGCGCGTGCGGGCGGGCAGTGGGCGAATTGGTGGTCTCCAAACCAGGTGGTGAGACACCCGGTGGTGACCCCGATTCCCCCCAAAAATAATTCTGGGTCACCACCGGGTTTGGGGACACGCGGTCGCCACGAGGTTTCGCGTTTCCTGGACCAGCCAGCGCTCGAAAACAACAACCCAAATCGCTCAAAACTCACCACCGGGTGTTCTCACCACCACGTTTTGTGACCACCAGGCGAAGCCTCGGCTGACCCGCCCAGTTCCCTAAGGGATAGGAGCAATCAGGAGGGGAAAAGACACACCGGCACAAGTAATCGCCGATGCTCAGGAAAAGATGCAAAGAGATGGGAAGTGGGGGAGAAGGCAAAAAACCCAGAATATGGGAAAATATGGGGAATCCTTTTATTCGTGCGTATTTATTTGTGTGTCCTGGGGCCCCTTCAAACAAGAATCCCCAGGTGCAGGCACTGTCTGGGGGAAGGTGGTGATCCCGCTGCAGCGTTGGCCTCCTTCCAGGATCGGCGCTCAGAGAGAGGCGCTCGCGGGCCACTCATGTATCCGGTTTCTGCATCGCCGTTGTCGTCCCCATCCTTTCCCGTCCTCCGCCTTCCCCTGGTCCTCCTGCTTCTCCCGCTCCTCCTACTCGCGCTCTTGCTGCTGCTGCTGCTCCTTCCTCATCCTTCTTCTCTTCCTCCTGATCATTATCATGATCATCCGCCACCGCCTCCTGCAATGCACAGAGCTCTCCTTTCTGATTGCGCATCTCACGTTGGGGTCATTTTGGGACCTGGGTCTGCTTGAACACCAATCGGCGGATAGAGGAAAATCAGCACAATGAAAAGGGACGGGTGGGAGGGGTAGGATGTCAGATGTGGTGCGCGCGACCCTGGCTTGTCTTTTACCCCCCCCTCTCTCTCCCGCCGCCTGCTTCCGCGCGCCCCCTCCTCCGCCTTTTTTTTGTTGTTGTTCTCTCTCTCTCTCTCTTCCCTCCCCCCTTCCTCCTTCCCTTTTCCCTCTCCTCTCCTCTCCTCGCCTCCCTCTCCCTCCTCTCCCTTTCCCTCTCCTCTCCTCTCCTCTCCTCTCCTCTCCTCTCCTCTCCTCTCCTCTCCTCTCCTCTCCTCTCCTCTCCTCTCCTCCCTCTCCTCTCCTCCCTCTCCTCTCCCCCCTCCCTCCTTCCCTGTTCCCTCTCCTCTCCTCTCCTCCCCCTCCCTCTTCACCTCCGTCCTTATCGGTGATCGACACATGCCCCCCCCCCCCTTGAGGGCCTCCACTGGTCGGCAGGGGGGACAAGGCATGGAGAACACACCCTGCGCTCGTGACGCTCGATTCCAGCTCCATGCCAGGCCTCTGTGCCCGCGCCCGCTCCCTTTCTCCCTCTCTTGCGCCGTGGATTTCGGCCGGCTCGCTCTGATTCTATTTTTGTTCTTCCGACGATCCCGTGCCGTCCGAGGCTTGCATACAGTCGGGGCACTGAGGAAGGAACCCTTGTCGTTGGGGAGGGGCTCGGTGTTCCTTGCTTGTTCTGCAGTGCACCTTCGGTTCTCCTGAGGCCATGGGAAATCGAAGTTCAACTTATGGAAAAAAGGGGCCTTGTTCCTTATTTAGGGTTCCTTAGGTCAGCGCCCCGACTGTAGCGCTGTTGTTTTATCTTGGTGCAGCTGCTCCGATTCGCCTTCGACTCCGTGCCGATGCGGCCCGATCCCCGGCGTTCCTTCCGATGCGATCCGACTGCGCAGGCCTTTGCGGCCGGCCGGTGCCGCCGACCCTGCAGGGGGACGACGACGACGACGGCGACGGCGAAACACATTCAGAACTTGGAGAACATTTTGGAATTTACTCCAGATTTCGTAATAAAAGGGAGGGGGTCTGGACCCTCCAAGACAAGCCATTTCAGACCTCCCCCGTGGGAGAACCCTCCAAAACATCGTCCCCAGACCCCCCAGGCCCTCCAAGATAGCCTGGAAGAGACCCCCCCCTGAGATGAGACCCCCCCACTTTATTTTGGAATCCGGAGTACCATCTTGGGGTTGTCTTCGGAGTCTTGAGGCCTTGTTGTGCCTCTTGGGAGCGTCTTGGAGACACTTCTCGGGCGCCCTCTTGGGGCCTCCTGGACCTCTTGCGGCGGCAGGCTCGAGCCACAACGGCAACGGCAACAACAACGGCTCCCGCCTGATATTTCCTCATTAATGTGCTTGTGGCAAGTGCCGCCGACCCTGAAGGTGGACGACGACAACGACCGGTCAAAAACTTAAGGAGCATCATTGACGCTATCCTGTTGGGGTTATCTTGGGAGTGCTCCTGGGGCTCTCTTGGACCTCCTGGGGACCTCTTGGCGGCTTCTTGGGCGACTCTTGGGGCCTCCTCGGGGCTTCTTAACTCTTAGGGCGGAGGGCTCTCGGGGGCCTCTTCTTTCGGCAGCCTCTGGGACCGTCTTGTGGCGATGTTGGGCTGCAACCCCTTCCTGGGACGCCCCCTGGGACCTCTGGAACAGGCCCTAGAACTTTCCCAGGGACCCCCTCCAGGACCCCCCGCCCCCCCCCCCGGGTGGGGGAGGGATCAATGGGAAGTGGCTACGTTTCGACTAGATTACGACGTTGCTGGATTTCCCTTTGGCTGGCGCGCTTGGTGGGGGGGGGGGACCCAGAGAAAAGGGTGGAGCGGCGACGACGGCCGCGACGACGATGACGTTGACGACGACGACGACGACGACGACGGCGGAAAAGCCTCTCACACGTGCCGACAGGGTCGGCGGATTTCCCGGTGCGACGCTGACTGATCTTTCCGTCTCTCTCCCCCCCGAGCGACCCGCCAAGGCAGCGCGAGATGTTCCAGCACCGGATGGGCGGGGGCAGCAGCGGGTGCCCTCAGAGGAGGAGGAGGAGGAGGAGGAGGAGGAGGAGGAGGAGGAGGAGGAGGACCTCTCTTTGAGGCTGCGTACCTCGGAGGCGCCGGCAGGCCAGGGCCTCGTTCGAGGAGCGCAGGCACCAGCTCCTGCAGTGTTGATCTGAGCTTGCGGGCTGACGTCGCCTGCACCCAGAATCCAGTGCAAGGCTTGTCGTGATCCGGGCAGACCGCTGTGGGTCCCATGGGCTCGTCTCTCGTCGTCTCCACCTGCACCCTCTGCCCTCCCTTGCTCCTTGGCTCTCCTCCGCCTCTCCGCCCCGGTTTCAGAACAGCAGCCACCAAGGCGACGACAGCGATCACGATGCTGCTGCTGACTAAACATTATGTTGTTGTTGCTGCTGCTGCTAGTGATGATGATGATGATGATGATGATGATGATGATGAGGAGGAGGATGATGATGATGATGATAATGGTGATGATGATGCTGATGAGGATGAGGACGAGGATGAGGATGATGATGATGATGATGATGATGATGCTGCTGATGATGATGATGATGCTTATAATGCTGATGATCTTAAGGAGGACGAGGATCCATGACCAACCAAGTAATCCAGCAGAGCCCTCCAGTAATCCAGTAGAAATCGTTTGGGTCATAGTTTATTGTTTAAAAAGAGGTGTTTTTTTTCGGAGACTGGAACATGTACATTACCAGTGGCGGTTTGTTTTTTCAATCCCACGACTTTTTGAGGATCGGGGACGACGTCGGGGTGGTGTGGTGTATATTTTCCCATCTTCCAAGGGAAGCAACGAAACATGTATACACCAGGATCCCGTATACACCAGGGTCCGCTTTCCTGTGCAAATTTCAGTGCAGGGCCGCAACAAGCATCGGTGTATAGAGTTCGGTTCCTTTTTTTTTTTTTTTTGTTGTTGTTGTTTTTGTTTGTTTGTTTGTTTTTTTTGTTGTTTGTTTTTTTTTGTTTTGTTTTTTGTTTGTTGTAGAAACACACAGCCTCTGGTTGGGAGCCCCCGCCCATGTTTTCAACTTTCACTTGGCGCCGCCCTGCCCCTGGCTGTGACTCGTGCGCCAGCTGCCCTGCCCTGCCTCAGGCGCTGCCCTTGGCGGCGCCATCGCTTGGGTCATGCTGCCCTGCCCTCGGGTCATGCTGCCCTGCCCTGCCCTGCTGTTTTCAACTTTCACTTGGCGCTGCCCAGCCCCAGGATGTCCTTTGCTTCTCCGCCCACTTCCCCCGCCGCCTCGCCCCTGCGCGGCCTGCACCGCCCGGCGGTCCTGTGGCGCTCTGCTTCCCTGCCGCCCTCCCTCGTGGCCCTGCTTGAGAAGTTTCGAGACGGCCTTCGGAGGCCCTTGCCTCCTCATCGTGCGTGTTTATGGCACGGGTTGACTGCAGGAGGAGGAGGAGGAGGAGGAGGAGGAGGAGGAGGAGGAGGAGGAGGACATGGCCTTCCAAGGCCCTTGCATCCCGAACGAGCGCAGTTGTTCCTGCCCCGACGCGAGGCTGCCAGGGGCCGTCGTCGTCCTGCATAAGGGGTCGCCCCGCGGGCGGGGCAGGCGCGTGCGCCGCCGGCGGCGGCGGCGACGGCCGCGCCGCGGGCTGGGCCTCCGCCCGTGGGGCCGGGCAGGCCCGGCGGGGCGGCCCGTCGCTGCGCCTCGGGAGCCTCGAGACGGTGGTCATAAAACGACGCGAAGATCGGGACAAAATCGGATCGGGATAACTCGAAATCTCTGAGAATCGGCGGGTTTGGAGGATGTATTGGGCGCCGCGGCCGCTCCAGAGCGTTCCGGAACGCTCTGAGAGCGCTCCGGAACGCTCGGGAGCGATTTATCCCGATCCTAGCCTTGTTTTAGGTCAACGCAAACGGGGGTTAGCCAGGGCACCAGGTCCTGCAGGATTCTGCGAAGATCCCCTCGGGCTGACCCGGGCTGGCGAGCCGCTCGTGGCTGCGAGGCGGCCGCGCCCATTGGCCGACCCGGGTTTGCGAAGACCTACGTTGCAGTTTTTTTTCCTGCATTGCAGTTCTTGGTTTCCTGCTGACCTGGGTCTGGATTGACCCTGGTCAGAAGATCCCCGATGCGCCTCGCCGAGAGCGTTCCGGGGGCGCCCGGAGCAGCTCCACGAACGGCCACCAGTCGGGGGCGGACAAGAGGGGGGTGATGACTAGGGGGGGGCGGATAGCATGGCGGGGGCCATGATATATTTCCCCAGATTTTCAGGGCGCCTCTTCTGATTTCATGACGTCCCTGGCCGCCCCCACGCTGGGCCGCTCCCGAACCAGAGAGCTGAGTTATTCTAGGCTTCCCAGCTGGGTTTCCAGTAGAAGGGGTCGGAGGATCGCGCCGCATCGCCGACGCATCGGCGATGCGGCTCGATGCGGAGCCCAATTTTCTCCACGCCGACGTCGCCGATGCGTCGCCGACGTCGGCGATGCATGGACGATGCATCGCTGATGCGCTGGCGATGCGGCGCGATCCTCCGACCACGTCTACTCATCTACTCGGACCCCATCGAGGAGTCCTCCAGGGAGGGAGGGAGGAGGTCAGGGGCAACGTCGGGGGGGGAGGCTCGACGTTCGAGGTTTGTGGGGCGGTTTCGTCGGTTCTCGGCGGTCTCCCAGTCTCGGGATGCCTTCTAGCAGCTGCGCCTCGCCGAGAGCGTTCCGCGGGTGCTTGGATCCCCCTCGAGCTGCCACCACCAGAGAGCTGAGCTATGACCCGAAGGCCAGGGGGCAATCCTAGGCCTCCCAGATGGGGTAGGAGTAGATGGTGTCGGAGGATCGCGCCGCATCGCCGATGCGTCGTCGATGCGGCGCGGCGATGCGGCTCGATGTGGACGCATCGGCGATGCGGCTCGATGCGGAGCCCGATGCTCTGCACGCCGACGTCAGGCCGACCCGAAGGCCAGGGGGGCGATGCCAGGGGGGCAATGCCCGAGGGCTGGGGTCTGACCTGAAAGCCCAGGGGGGGCAATGCCAGGGCAGGATATGGCTCGGGGGTGGACAGAACCCCCAACAGTGACGCGTCGATTAGTGAATTGTCCGTTTTCGGTTCTCGAGAGGGCGCCGCGGCCGTTATTTTCCAGGCTTGCGCCCGCCAGATTTGGGCCGCAGGTCGTTTTCACTAAACCACGTTTTACTAGAGGGAGGTCTGTCCATCCCCGAATATGGCCGAGGGGGGGGGGGGGATTCATCGACCCCCCCCGTCGCTCCTCGATCGCCAACTTTTGGGGGGCCCGACAGCGCCGACCGCCGCTCAGGATTGTGTGCGCGGACTCGCTGTCGAGCGCTGCCATCGCCGAGCTAGCAGCGACGTGTCGCCGATGGCAGCGGGGGTGGCCCTCGGGGGGGGGAGGGGGCCCCCCACCCGGGAGGGACGGAATCACCACCTACCAAACCGCCCCAACCCAACCCGAAGGCCTCAATTTGCCCTCCATTTCCAGTGGGGGGGGGGGGGAAAAAAACACATGGAACCCGTACCCCCCCCAACCCGCAATTCGGGTCAAATTCGGGTCTTCGGGTTGGGTTGGGGTGGTCTAGTAGGTCGCCACGGAAGTCCACTCAGGACCCCCACCCCTCGGTGCGGAACAACAACGATACGCGAGATATTTTCAGCAGCCTTCGGCCTCTGGGGGCCCTCACAGCAGGTGGCAAAGACCTTGCCTGGCGATCTTTCCGTTCCTATGTCGTTCTCTTGATCTGGGGTGCAACTCATGGGAGGGTGAGTTCAGAATCGGTGCCAGTATATCCCTTGTATCCCTTGTCGGAGACTGGCCCAATCTGGCTCTGTCCCGCTTGATCCAGTTCAGTCTCGATTAATCCAGCTTTATCCTGCTTCATCCAGCTCAATCTTGGGTTTAATCTGGCCATCTGGCCTGATCTTGCTCGATGCCCTTCTAATCGGGCTTCATCGCAGTTGCCTCCCAATCTGACCCTGAGATCCGAAGTTGTGAAAACATGCAGCTTTGCGAAAACCACGACAGGAGCCCTAGACCTGATCTTTCTGATGCCTCTTTGGAGGTCTATCGATCTGGGGTGGTTCCAGGGCGCAAAGCTGGGCGGAAGCGCCCAGGGTTGGGAAACTTCGCCACGGCTGGATCTCAGGAGCCCCGACCGTCCAGAGCGCTACAACAAAGATGGCCCTCCAGACCTCTTGACCCATCTGGACTGCCCAGCACCTCGACCGGAATTTGGATATCGAAGTTCTGGTGCTAATTGGAGAGGCCTGACGGCCGGTGCCGCCGACCCTGATCGAAAGGGCTAGGAGTGGGGGGAGGAAGCGGAGGATGAGGAGGAGGAGGAGGAGGAGGAGGAGGAGGAGGAGGAGGAGGAGGAGGAGGAGGAGGAGGAGGAGCAGGAGGAGGAGGAGGAGGAGGAGGAGGAGGAAGGAGGGAGGAGGAGAGGAGAGGAGGGGGAGGAGGAGGAGGAGGAGGAGGAGGAGGAGCAGGACTGCCCAGAACCTCGACCGGGGAAAATTTGGTGTCGAAGTCCTGGTGCAAATTTTTGTTGGCCCTCCTTGAGAGGGAGGGCCGGGCGGGGCGCGCCGCGGCCCGCCTGCGCGCCGGCCCTGCTGCCGTGGCCTGGGCGGGCGCTCCTCCTCCTCCTTCCTCCTCCTCCTCCTCCTCCTTCATCCTCCCTCCTCCTCCTCCTCCTCCTCCTCCTCCTCTCCTCTCTCCCTCCCCCTCCTTCCTCCTCCTCCTCCCTCCTCCTCCTCCTCCTCCTCCTCCTCCTTCCTCCTCCTCCTTCTCTCCTCCTCCTCCTCTCCTCTCCCCTTCCTCCCCCTCCTCCTCCTCCTCCTCCTCCTCCTCCTCCTCCTCCTCCCCCTCCTCCTCCCCCTCCTCCCCTCCTCCTCCTCCCCTCTCTCCTCCTCCTCCTCCTCCTCCTCCTCTCTCCTCCTCCTCCTCCTCCCTCCTCCTCCTCCTCCTCCTCCTCTCCTCCTCCTCCTCCTCCTCCTCCTCCTCCTCCTCCTCCTCCTCC